CCATTTCCTTCGACCAAGTACACTTAACTGATCTTATTACTTTAAATATATGCTGATAGAAACATAATAACTCATGACTTGCCGGAAGAAAAGGAAGATTGTTCGGCGATTACTATACTTAAGCATACTTGAACTTGGTTGCGGTTTAAAGTGAAATTTTCGCATAAAATCTAAGCAATTCACTCTGAACCGAACCTATTACTAAGATTGTGATCTGAACAGAGCACTACCTTTAGAAACGTTCGACGGAAATCGGATTTAAATCGCCGCTTCTCCTCGCCGTGCGGTACTAGCCGATGCCGTGCGATTGGTTTGATTTGGCCGAGCGATTGCTAATGTTTTTGGGAGAATTTTGAGTGATCTGGTTGCTGAAGGTATGGAGAAGATATGCTGAGCTTATAGGGGAAAATTGTGGAAAATTTCGGTCCAAATGCATGCTTATATACAAGGCCGTGCATGTGAGGTGGTGACAAGGCCTTGCGTGGCCTTCTTAAGCCTCTTCCACTTGTTTATCTCTTGGTGAGGCTTTGATGACTAAGCTTCTTTATGTTGTGACAAATTGCTTAATCTTATTGGTTAATAAACCCTTACTTCAAGCCTAAGAATGTCACGGTTTTTAACTTGAAAAATTTGGAAAGAATATGACCAAAGTGTACGGCTTTATTAGGAAAATTAGGGTTTCTTATGCTAATTAATGTGATTAATCACAAATTAATCACTCAAATGATGTTTAATTGTTAAATTAAACATAATACTTAATTACCAAAATTATTTCGGACGTAATCGGTACGCCGAAAATAGATTTCGGTAATCCGACTGAACTTAATTAATTCCGAAAATAATAAACGATAACGTTACTATATCGGAATTAAACATAATTCATACTAATAATATCTCGGGATATTACAACTGCAAATCGTCTTTATAACGATTATTTTTCTGAAAACCCAAAATTTAATGAAGCCATGTTTCGTAAACGTTTTCGGATGTCTAGAATTTTTTTTTTTGGTATAGCAAATGCAGTTAAAAGTCATGATGATTATTTTTTGCAGCAAAGAAATGCAGTTGGTAGACTCGGATTGTCTACCTATCAAAAGTTAACTGCTGCGCTTCATAATAATAGCATACGCTGTACCAACAGATGCGACAAATGAATACATAAATAATGGAGAGTCCACCGCAATTGAATGCGTGAAGAAATTTTATCGTGTTGTTGTAGAGATACTCGGAGAGCAATATCTAAGTTCTCCCAATGCCAATGACATTGCAAGACTCCTTTATATCGGTAAGCAACGTGGCTTTCCAGGAATGTTAGGTAGTCTAGATTGTATGCATTGGCGTTGGAAAAATTGTCCAACAGCTTGGGCAGGTGCATATACAGGACGTAGTAAATCTCCAACTATTATTCTAGAAATTATAGCTGATTACGATTTTTGGATATGGCATGCATACTTTGGTATGCCTGGATCCAACAATGATATTAATGTGTTAGACAGGTCTTATTTATTTTCTGACCTTACTCGAGGAATTGCCCCTCCTGCACATTATGTCATTCAAGGTAAATAGTACAACATGGGGTATTATTTAGCAGATAATATATATCTCAAATGGGCAACTCTTGTCCAACCTATTCGTGACCCTTGGAGTCAGAAAAAAATATTTTGCAATGAAACAAGAAGCATACAGAATGTGGAGCGTGCATTTGGAGTACTCCAAAGTCGATTTGCTATTGTGGCTAATCCTGCACGATTTTGGAGTAAAAATGACTTACAAGATATAATGATTGCATGTATTATTTTGCATAATATGATAATTGAGGATGAACGAGATATTTCTGCACCGATTGAAGCTGCGATAGAAGCCCCAATCCCTGATGTTGAAACGGTTGGTAATGAAGCTTCTCAGTTCCAAGCATTTGTTGCTCGATACAGACAAATTCGAGATGGAGAAGCTCATATCGCCCTTCGTAATGCATTGATTGAGCATTTATGGGAGGAATTTTCTAATTCAGAAAATTAGTTGTAATGTTATTGTAATCGTTGTTTGTAATGCTTTTTTTTTTTTCATTGTATATGTAATTTGTATCATTTTGTTTGAATTTTTGAAGCATCTCGTGTTGTTATACATATTTTTTTTTAATTACTATTTGGGTAATAAACATTTATATAACATTACATATTCATATATAGCAAATTATGTTAAATAAAAATAAATAAAATATATTTTTATTATTTGAGTAATTATCATTTTATATAAAATTAAATATACATATATACCAATTTATTTGAAATAAAAAATGAATAAAAAATAATATATTTAATGTAGAGTAAAATGTAGAGATAAGGGCTGGAGATGAATGTTCAACTCTACTCTAGAGTAGAGTAAAGTCCGCGCTAGAGTAGAGATAAGGACTGAAGATGGCCTAATAATGGGAAGAGTATTAGGGCGTCGCGATGTGCGGTCACATCACATTATTTATCCCCGACCACCTAACGACGAATTTATCGACCTACACCGGTCATTGTCGATAATCATACCTTAGTGGTCTTTTTCTATGATTGAAAAATGAAGATTTTTATAAGTACTAATGAAAAAAAATCTCAAAAGTATAAAAAGTGTGTCACTCTCCAAGCGCAACATTTTTTTTCGATGTTTCCACCTTTTCCATCCACCAGCGCCCATGCTTTGTCTATGTGAAGAAATCTTTTTCGCTGGTCGATATTATGTGGTTCATTACGACGACTGCATGTGTGATTTGGAACGGGTCTAATGAAGTTTTAACTTTCGATCTTTCTTTTCGTGTAATATTTGCCTCTTACTAAGGTTCATTTTCATTTAATTGACATTTTGTCAGCTCAATTCTCATCCCCCACAATTATAAGATTTTTGTTCTGTGTCTTTTGGGTTCGACGATTGGTTTTGGACCAATTGATCTTCCTCAATTCGAAATTAATTTTCTAGGCGAAGGTGTACATAGTGTTTGGATGAGAATACATGAATCCAGGAGGGCCTCACCTCATTGTTCGATAAAGTCGTCGACTTTACACACTAGAAGGGCGATCGATGATGCCGCTCTCACCTGGGTCATCTACACGTGCTTGTTCTCTGAAGGAGAAGATGAACTTAATTGATGTTTACAATGGTGTAAGTAAGGTATAATAATTTCTTTTTCTTGGTTTCGTTTTTATTGAAGTTTATATTCAATATATGTATTGTTGTCGATATTCAGTGTTTGGGAAAATATTTTTTGCATCTTTGATTTACTTATATCGTGGAAGATTTAGATGTTTACTTGATCTTATTTTGGTATATTAACATTTTTTTTTTCCATGGTGAGCTGATAATATTCACCTACCTATAATAAACTAAAAATAAATAAAACATAAATTGAAAGAAGAAAAATTCATAAATTTACAATAAAAATATAATATTTATGTCAAATTGGACATTTTTAATATGCTTGTTATTTTGAAAACATTTCATAAAATTATGTAAATAATGTAAATTAGCGATGAGGTTGGATCGGACTGGCCCACGTTTCATTAGACCCAGCCCAAACAACTCATTTCCGGGTTTGGGGCCGGTTGTCGTACAAGTTTCGCCCGCCATTTTCATCCCGACGAGACCTCGACCATCACATGATACAAGGTTCAAAGACATTCAGATTTTCCCATCAACACAGAACAAAGCATCAAGATGTTGCAGTTGAAAGATCGAACCAAAATACTACCTTCAAATGAACAAAAGCATAATTATATGTTGCGTCGACACCCTTTAGCTGTTCTCCTTTCTTCGCCTGGAAACTCCTCCGGTGTAAGTTTTAGCCATGTCGCCGGCGTCCGGAACGAGTAAGTTTTTACCCTCAATTTTACTATTGAGCAGATTATTTTGCATTTTCGTAAGTTCAATCGGTTTTTGGTTTACGATTTTCAGTGATGAGGAAAGAGAAGGCCGGAGCGGCCGACCGATGGAGCAGAGGTGGAGAAAGGCGGCGCTGCGCTGGAAACTGCCAATTTGGTGTTGATGCCGCGGTAAGAATGGTGGCGGAGCTGCTCCGTTGTTGTGAGAACATTGTGTGCTTTGATGAGAGAAAGGATAAATGGAAAATGGTGAAGGGAACAGGAAAAACTGCAATTTTGATGCTTGTACATCACGCTGCAACATCTTGTACCTCGTGAAGTAAGAGCTACTCTTTTGCCTTTCTTTCTTGAATGAAATCTCACTATTAATTCGAGAACTTGGTTTGCATTTGTCCTTGGGCTCATGGGGATGGAGTAGTGGAAATGCTTTGACATTTTAAGTGAACTGGGGGAAAAAGGACATATTGAATTTCAATGATTTGCTTATTGTTCGATTTTGATCGTTAGACCGATCTTTCTGTGGTCTATGCTGAAAGTAGTAGTTGAAATCAATCCTGATTTCATTTGAACTAAATCTATGATTGTGGATTTTGTATTATCTATCATAGATTAAGCGGATTTTGACCTCTTTGTTTCTCTCACTTTCCACTTCGTGTACAATTGCCCGTGCATATTTTTTGTAATATGTTGTATTTCAGGTATGGACTTCTAGTAAGTTCAACTTCCAACTAGCTTTCTTATACTCATAAATAGGCTTCTGCACTTTACATTGTAAACTTATTCATGTAATGTAACAAAACTTTGCAACCTGTCATGGAAAGGCATTCATTAGAATTTAACGTTGCCTAGAAGATTCATGTACTTATGAAGGAAAAGCAGTATTATTTTGAGGGTTTTATTATTAACTTTAACTGATTTATATATGTATGTAGGTCCAACCACAAAATAATAATAACAATAATAATAATTGTAATAATAATAAATATAATAATTCTGGATTCGAGAGGCATGATGATAATTCAATATGCTGTATTGAATTCTACAATGATCCATCAACTTGTTTGACAATGTATCTTAGATAAGTTCAAATTTCCCGGGTTTATTCAAATACATATCTATAGGTTCAAGAACTTTCGAACCTGCTTGCATACTTATTTAAGAACAATACATATTTGTTGTAAACATAATATCGACGAGCGACAGTGTTCCTGATGTTACTAAAAATGAAAGGAGCTGGTTGCAATGTTAGTTTTTATCTATTCAATAGCCTAAAAGTTAATTGACATTTAGTTTAACGTTACGGCTATCGGAATTTAAGTTTTTAATATTTCTTCTATATGGGGAATATTATTCCATATATCTTATATTAAATTGGAATTATGAAATTAAGATAATATAGGATGTAATAAATGCAGAAAGGAGGATAAGCGACAAGTATCGTTATATGATTGCATTCAAGTAAATCCTAAGATCGTCTTAGTGTTGGCTGATTAACTAGTTATATGTATAGTAAGAATCAGTTGACGGAGTCTAGATGAAGGTGAGTGTAAGAAGCTTTAAGAAAAGAAATGTGTCCGCTGATGAAATATGGCAGTAGTTGATCTCGTGTTGGCAATTATTGATCCTTAACCTTTTGTTAACTTTTTATTTCTAGAAAATTATCTTCACCTTTAAATACTTAAAATCATTTCATCTCCAGGAAATTAATTGGTGGTTATGGCTTTTTTCAGAAAAAAAAAAAAAGAATGTATGCTAGTTGATAAGGAGAGGAACCCCGTAATTATAATTATCTGTGGTGATATTATTTATTTTGATAAACTAGTATAAGATGAAAGGAAGCGAATGTGGTCTTAAAGTATATAAAGGTTTTCACTTTACTTGCATCTTCAAATGGACAGAAAAGGAAGATTGCTTCCTGGATGGTGAAATGGCGACTTTACATGCTGCTACTTGTTTTCATAAATAAAAGAGAGGCAATACCATAATAAACAATTTAAAGTGGAAAATTTCAAATTATTTTAGAATTTACTTTCGGCTAATTCACTACAGAGCTCAGTTTATCGCACTGCAATCAGAAGTTTGAAACTTTTCCCCTTTAAAAATGAACTAATTACAATAAATGTGAATTATGCTTTTTTGTCAAATAACTATCTGCTGTAATCCCCTTGCCAGATAATCAGAGTCATCATAATAAATGACAGATGGTTAGTGAATGTCTATATTCAGTGTATGAATTTTTAATTATTAACCAACCTTATAAGCTCATGTAAATAGAAGGTAACTTCTGAATTGTTACCATCCATTTTTTTTCCTTATTTATCAGACTGTCCAATATGCATTTTTCAAATAAAAGACTATCGGTGCATTCCAAGATTGGCATTCTGCACCAACTTTGGTAAAGCTATCTTGGCATGTGAAGTATTTTGATTGTTGTTTTATACTTCACCTTCTCTTAGTTGTTTCATTCTGGACCCTCAAGTCCTGGTATTAATTCCCTTATTTTTTTTTAAGTTGAAGGTCGTGCCCATGAGAGAACCAGACACTTACTTTTATGTAGAACAATAATTTAAAAGTAGTTTCTCACTTGCTATCTCCTTCCAGATTCCTGTGTCTATTACAGAGATTCTGTCATTGGACCATTGTTTCTCTTCACTTTCTATAACTATCAGAATATATCTATATTCCAAATTTTATGTTTTTTGTGTGGTTTGTCCAATGAAGAGATGCAACCCTAATAGAAAGAAGGAAATAATTATTTACTGTTATTTGTTGTCTTTATTCTGTATCATTTTTTACCATATAGCCAACTTTCTTTTTGTTCCAAAGGCTGCCTCATAAATACTATATTGCTACACACACTTTTGTGTTCATGGCTACTCATTTTCCTGGTTTCGTGTAGTTGAGAATAAGAGAAGGCTCTTTTTCTTTGACAGAGAGATGGATTTATCATATGGAGGGAGTGGATCTGGAGAAGAAATATACAACTCGAGAAAGGGCAAGAAGCAGTACCATCGTCATTCAACGCAGCAGATTCAGCAGCTTGAAGCGTACGTTTACTTTCTTACTCCATTTCATTCAAAATATTTTAGATGTTAATCGTTTCCTTGATCTTTTATTTTGGTCTTTTTGAACAATGACATTTGCATGGAAAATTATAATTTTTCTATACTTCATTATTTAATAGAAACTAGAGATATGAAATAAGTTTCTATGGAACTGTTAGTGATCTGTACAAATATGTTAATCTCTTAACTTATAATCCTAAGAGAATTTTTTATGATTTGTGACAGGAAATTAGCTCTTGATGTAACAAATTTATGGGGGTTTAAAGAGTTATGATTCTCAATGGCTTTTGACTGTTTATATTTTATAGTTTGATGGTTTAAAATGCAGTTAGCTTGACTTTACGTATTTATGTAGTTTCTATAAAGAATGCCCACACCCAGATAAGAACCAAAGGCAGCAATTGAGCAGGGAACTGGGCCTCGACCAGAAGCAGATAAAATTCTGGTTTCAGAATAAAAGGACTCAGATAAAGGTTAATTACCGTTTATGCCAATTCCATACATTTTGTGAGCGACTGTATTTTGCTCATCAAGTATTTCATACTCCTTTATGCTGATCTAGTCACTTTTTGAAATATATTTTAGGCTCAGAACGAGCGTGCAGACAACAATGCTCTCCGGAGCGAAAACGAAAGAATTCATTTTGAGAATATTGCTATGCAAGAGGCACTGGAGAACGTCATTTGTCCTGCATGTAATGGCTCGTTTCCTGGGGAAGAAGAGAGACGTAACAACTTACTGAGGCTGAGGATGGAAAATTCGCGATTGAAGGAAGAGGTGATTGATTTTAACCAGACAGTTCATGTCTATTAAACAGTAAAATAATTTTTCTAATAAATCCATCAATGTTTGAGATGCTTATATAGGGCATTTACTAATGATGGCATTAACACATTTTCAGCATGAAAAGGCAATAGGTTTCTTCGCTAACTACATGGGATATCCATCTATGCCATTGCCCCGTACAGAGCCCCTTGCCAATATGCAGATAAACCAATTTCCGGGGGAAGGTGTGGGACCCACGGGTCCCAGCGTCGAGCACGTGCCACGGCTTGCGGAGAATCCCATAACCCCGCCTTGGTTGAGCGGGATAACAGATGTGGACAGATCCAATATTATTGAAACCGCCGTTGGCTCCATAAATGAACTCATGGAACTCATGCACGTGAATGAGCCGATATGGGTCCGGACCCCGGCAAATGGCAGATGCACTATGCATCGTGAGAGTTACGATAAGCTCTATCCGCATTCCAATCACATCAAGACTGCAAGCGCACGATTTGAGTCGTCCAAGGATTCGGGCGAGGTGGAAATGTCTGCGCTTAAATTAGTGGAGATTCTTCTTGACGTGGTATTGACTACACTTATCTTCATGTCAAAAAATTCTAAAGAAACCAATGGCTAGCAGGTTTGTTGAGACATCAACGAATGATGTAGTGACGTGTCCCAATTGCAAATATTATAGGCCTCGTGTCTGACACATTAATTGTGTTTGACTCAATAAGACTTGTCAGGCGCTGGTTTTTATAGTAGGACTGTTTTTCCATTTAACTTCTGTACTGTCTTTTAAAGTCTACTACCTGATTCCATTTGAAGCTCATTTTTTCTTTTATTACTAATTTTTGCAGAATAAATGGAAGGACATGTTTCCTACTATTATTTCGAAAGCGAAAGTCATTGATATACTTGATACGGGGATCTTGGGAGGCTTGTTACATCTGGTATGAACCTACAACCCACGAAAAACATTATTGTGAAATCTGGATAGATTAACTTGAATCAGTTCCTATGTTGATGCAGATGTATGAGAAAGAGCACGTTTTATCACCTCTTGTGGCTCCTCGGGAGTTCTTCTTTGTTCGATATTGCAGACAGCTCAATCCGACCACATGGTTGATGGTAGACGTGTCTTATGATTTTCTTAGAGGGTTCCAAGATGGTGCTCCTACCCATTCTTGGAAGCTTCCTTCTGGCTGCATGGTTGAAGACATGTCAAATGGAAAATCAACTGTGAGTTCTGCTTCTATGTAAAACCATTCATTTTATAAGACATAGTTTACTGTTATTGTCATTTTCTATTTATGTAGTTTTGTCGGGTAGTTCCCTGTTCCATCCTTTAATATTAGCTGACCTATCTGGTGCTGCTTTATTTCTTTGTCATGTTTTATTATATTTAGAATTTTTAAAATACATTAATGGCCTTTTGCTCTCTAGAGTTAAGTTGCCAAATAGGGTTGTTTTGCCAGGGTTTAGTATTTGAAGTGAGCCTTAGACTAAACTTGAGAGACAGGAAAATTCTTGCTCGTCGGCTTTTAGCTTGGGCAGGAGATTGTTTCCCAAGAAGTTCATGCTTTTTTTTTCCTGCATAAATAATATTCATTTCCTTGGGTTAGCCCTGACTATTACATAACTACGTAAAAGGGAGACGATTAACCATCCATACAAGTTCATTTTGAAGCAACCCTTCATCTTGCAACAATGTCAATGTAAACATAATAGGATTAAAGATCAAACAAATGTATCAATGGATTAGTTCTACCACTGGGTATGATAAATATGTGATACAAGTCTTCATGCAACACTTCTGCAATAGTTTATGTTAACTAGGGAAGTTTTCATGTAAATTTAGTGAAGTTGGAATCAACCATTTACAAGTAAATTTGGGAGGGCTTATTTGTCACTGACGCTTTGAAACATATTGGTGATCATGTACAGATGATAGACACTATCTAAAATTCATTAGTTCTGATATTTCCTCTAGATTTTTGTTATTATATAGTGCAAAGGAAGTATCTCATGAACAAAAGATTTCATGAAGAAAGAAAAGTTATTTCAATGTTTGATTTGCCTGCGAGTAATAAATACATAGAAAATCCCGTTAATATTATTAAGAGATCTTGGTAGAAATGAGAGAACCCTTTTATATATTTCAATCAATCAATCAATCAACATACCCAGTATATTCCCAACAGGTTGGGGTCTGGGGGGTCAAGTTGTACGCAGACCTTACCCTTGTAATTATACAAGGAGGCTGTTTCCATAGCGACCCAAGGTGCGTTGCGTCGTTCGATATATTTTTTTCTAGAAACTTCACTAATAGAAGAAGCACTAGAATTTAATTGAGCCATTTTGATCTAGTCCATTATTAGCACTATGCCAGGAGAGTTGTCAACAATGACTCTTCCAGCTCCATATGCAATGGACATAAACCCTTTTATATATTTATTAGTAAAATATTGGATCCCTCAAGGCTTTTTACTAATAAATTTTATATATTTATTAGTAAAAAGCCTTGAGGGATCCAATATTTTGAAAATCAAATATTTTTTTGAGAATTTTTAAAGATCCAAAACAGAACAAAAGAGAATCATAAAGTTAATGAAACTTCAGTTTATTTCATATGATCCTTTTTTATGTGCATTTCTTGTTAAGTTGCATCTTCCAAACTATTCATCCTTGGTTTTGTATGCATATTTTTTCGATCATTTGATTCCTTCCCGGACTTATAATGCTTTACAATCACAAGTTTGATTCTGTAAACCACCCATGGTGCAGCAAGTTGCTTGATATTGATCTTTCTGTGCAATATTCAATCTGCACATGCTTTCATATTCACTCTTCAAGGGGCCTTATTTTTGGGCAGGAATGGTTTGATAAGAAAGAATATGGAAGGAAAAAAAAAAAAAGCCGTCCATACTCTTTTAGTAACTCATGAATGCCACAATATGGTCATCCAAAACCGTTACTTCCCTCAAGAGAAGACATATGACGAACATTATAGATAGCTATTAAATATCATAAATGAAGATAGAAAAATAAAAAATAAGAGATAATCACAACATAAAAGATAACTTATGTCTCATTGATGCGATCTTACTTCTAGTACAATATTTGTCGGCATGCTACATCGACATATCCTGTTATGATTCATTAGGAAAATTAAATTTTCTGAGTGTGGTAGACCAAGTATCACAATGCGAGGCACGTTTGGACACTGATTAATCGAATGTGTGAATTTCACATATTCCAATTGGCCTAGCTATGAGTACAGTTAGGTGAAACTTTCTATTTTCTGCTATCTTTTCTTCTGCCGTATGCATGTTTGCCACTCGTCTTTTTAATGGAACAGGTGAGAAGTACTTGCCTCATGAAAGACCCTAAACCTTTCGCCTGAAAACTAGTGCGCTAATTTTTATACACTTGTCGGTATCTCATCCAATTATACTGCCTTAAATGTTTTCTGTTCCTTCTAGTATGCAACTGGCACTCACTTATACATATATCTATATATCTATGTCGATATCTATATATATAAACTTTTCTTCCGGACAGGTTACATGGATCGAACATGTTCATGTGGATGACAAATCGTTGACTCATCGCCTATATCGAGATCTAGTGCGCGGTTGCCAAGCATATGGAGCCAAACGGTGGATCACTACTCTCCAAAGGATGTGCGAGAGATTTGCATTCTCAAGGGGGGAAATTCCTGCACCTAGAAATGGACTTGAAGGGGGTATTCATTTAATTTACTATCTGTTTTACAATGGTTTGGGTACTTGAAAATATTATGCTTAAGTTGTTTATTCCCATCTTTTTTCGTTCAGTTATCACTTCATTTGAGGGACGGAGAAATGTGATGAAGCTCTCTCACAGAATGGTGAAGAACTTTTGCGAGGCACTAAGCATGTCAGATAATCTCGATTTTCCTCACCTGTCGGATTTTGAAAATAGTGGAGTCCGAATCTCGTTCCGGAAAAGTGACGAACCAGGCCAAGTAGACGGCTTTGTGGTCAGTGCGGCTACCTCTATTTGGCTTCCCCTTTTGAAAGAAGATCTCTTTGATTATCTGAGAGATGAGAAAAATAGATACCAGGTCAAAAAAAGCAATTGTCCTCCATTAATTGATTACGCAAATTACAGTTTGTGTATTTAGGACACTCCAATTAAGGTAAAGAAAACTAAATGCATTTTGCCGTGCAGTGGGATGTGTTATCCAGTGGAAATCCTGCAAATGCAGTTGCACGCATCTCAACTGGAGCACATCCCGGGAATTGTGTCTCAATCATCCAGGTTACTTTCTAAAACTTAATATATGTGCTTTTTTTATTCTAATATCTAAATTCAGAAGCAGCTTAATCTCTATGATTTCAAGAATGATTCTCTAATTTCCTATGGGCCTTTTTTAAATGCGGTATGTGTTCGAAAATCTTCATGATAAAAGTTGAGAAATGAATATAAGGTGTGGAAGTTTTGGAAATTTATTATGACTTCCCAAGCCGAGTGCTCTGAGTTCAACAAATTAATATTCATGCATTAAATGACTCTGAATTATTGTAGTAGCGAGAGAGACGTCATAAAATTGAGAATGCCAGATTGGCGCCATTATTGAAGAAAAGCTGAAGCATCTGTTTTATGTGCAAATATGACTATGAACTGTTGCTCTATCAGGACAAGGTACAAAACCAATATTTTGTTACCTAAGTAAAATCAGCACTTGACAACGAAGCGCAGCTTGGTGGTAAAACGCTTCACCTATGACCGATAGGTCATGGGTTCGAGTCGAGGGGAAGTGGGAACACTATTGATCCTCCTTTTTTTTAAAAAAGAAAGAGTAAATCAGCGCTTCAAATTAATGCGCTCAAATACCCAGCTTAAGAAATGAAAAGTTGGAATCTCATAATACTCAACATCCACTCATCATATTTTCACTTTTGACGAATTACAAGTAATATTAATGTGAAAATATTAATTTTGTTTCACAAAACTGTATAATTTAAGTGTGCATAATAAAATTTGGAACCTTAAAATCTATTTTTGCATCACATATTTTATGTCCAGAAAAAACTCCATGTAGAGTACTGGTGACTTATTTTGAGGTGTGTTTATGTTGCATCTCGATATCTTTTATGCAACTGAACAGTTGATCATGAATACATTGTGCAATTCCTAATGCACGTGCGCTGAAACTATGACTGATGTAAACGTTTCTACTTTCTCGCATGAATTGTCAGTACAAATAACGCAAGTTAGCTAGCGTTGAGCAAAACATTGAAGCTTATACAACGAATTTCAGTTTTCAGATTTGGCAAAAACCTTTGAATTATGTAGTGTGTCATTTTGATAAGAAGTATATTTGTTTTGTCTGTCATTTCTACGACTGTTCTGTTCAAACTCACCTTCACCAACATTGTCAAGGTTTTACCATAATTCTGAAGCCGTAAACAATTATCGATCTCAATACTTCTACTTAAATATCCACATTTGAATCGAATAAAATTATCTATTTTCCCTGTCCATTACTTTTTCATTTTCTTCTCTTCTATTCCTCTTTCCTTTTTTTTTTCCAATTAAAAAAAAAAAAACATATATTTCCTAAATCCGTTTTATACGCAGCCGTTTGTCCCCAAAGAGACCAAGATGTTGATGCTGCAAGAGAGTAGTCTCGATTCCTTAGGAGCACTACTTATATATGCCCCAATGGATTTACCAACCATCATATCAGTTGTTAACGGTGAGGACAACATGAGGATACCGATTCTCCCATCAGGCTATGTAATCTCTGGTGACGGCCGAACGAACAAAGCAAATGCAGCTTCAAGCAGTTCAAACCCTAATAACTCCTCAACCGGTTCACTCTTGACTGTAGCATTTCAGATACTGGTGTGCCGTGGGCCATTAACAAAAGAGCTCAACATGGAGTCAGTGGCCACCGTGCATGCTCTGATCAGCTCCACAATCGAGAAGATCAAAACGGGACTTAATGTTTCGGATTAGGGTTTGCGAAACCATTGAAAATGTCACCAGATATTGTTGTTTTATACCCCTGTTGGTACTGAGTGATGGATTTTTTTAAGCTTTTTTGTGTGATGGGTTTGTGAAAGTATTTGTGACTTGCATTGTGGGTTTGGTTGTTAGGTGTGAGACTTGGTTTTATCTTTTCTTGGACGAGTAACTTTTTGCTTTTCATGTTATACATACATAACTTTGTTAGTAGTTTTTGTTTTACTACATTAGCTTCACATTTACTAATTCAGAGAGTTGTGTATGCATTGCTAAGATAGATACAATTGACTTCCTTTAGCTAACAACTCGATAAGTTTAAGTGTACATGTTTGTTAAGGGTGTCAAGATAAGATTGTTTTTATCTCACTAAACAAAATTGCATTGTAGAGATTAGGTGCATTTATAGGTTGTTAAGTATGATTGACTTGAGATAAGATTTTAAGATAAGATTTTGTTGTTTTGTTTTGGGATGCATTTGTTTCGTATGATAATTGCTGAGATGAATTGTATATTTACATTTTGCCCTTTATTAATAATATTAATATTGTGTTCCTTCTATCACATTAAAAAAAAAGTTTAATAACTAACTTCAACAAAAATGGTTTATTGCACTCGGATTCCCTGCACCTGTTTTTTTGTTTTTTGTTTTTTTTTTTTTGTTTTTTTTTTTTTTTTTTTAATAAAGAAAATAATCCTATCAAGTTTTAGGAAGATTCAATGCTACACATGTAGCCATTGCCCACATGGTTTTTTATCATTGATATACATAAACACACACACCCACACACCCACATGGGTGTGTGAAATCAATAGTGTTAGAAATGTATTTTTTATATGTTTTATTTTGCTTTTCTTATTTTATTTTTGTATATATATTTATTTGTTTATTATTTATGGGAGAAAATTATTGTGTTTAAAAGTTTCCTTATCTTATTAGGTGTCCTACTAGGAAAAGGAAGAAAAAGATATGAAGAGATCTGGCTTAGAGATGAAGAAAAACTTTATGGGCGTGCAAATAAAAAAGGGAGCAGCAAACATATTTTCCTTGGAGACTTTGAGAAAAAAATATCATCAGATTGGCTTGAGTTTTTGGAGAACAAGCTTCATGCGTGGCAATTTATTGCTCAAACCAAGAGCAGCAATCATATTGGGCTTAGGGCATTAGCTTGGAGTTTGATAATTTTTCAAGAGAAGAAGCAGCGCAACAGCGTGGCTATTATTTTGGGATACAAGAGTTTTATTGGGATACAAGCAGTGCAGCAGCGTGGCTTCTCTTTTTACTTTTATTGATCTTTTATATTCGAGAGATTATTATGATATAGTGCATATTGTGTTTGAACTCGCGATTTGTTTTTTTCGTAGATCACTAGATGTTTTGGATTGGATGGAAAACTTTGTGATTAATTTGTTCTAGTGAAATTTTGGCGTGTGGCCTTAGTCTACAAGTGTATATTCACTTGTAGGCTAAATTTTGAATCTTTCGTATTTATTTAATTTCCGCTGCGTATTTTAATTCTTGATTTTCGTGTGAAATCTGGATATTTGCGTACCTAAAATTCTAACAAGTGGCATCAGAGCAGGTCGCTTAATTTAATATGTGGTTCTGTCTTCATAGGTACTCATGGAGTTCACCGGAACTTCATTTTTTCGGCCTCCGATTCTCGATGACTCAAATTACACCATTTGGAAGATGCGTATAACGTCCTACATTAAATCCATTGATGGACGTGCTTGGTAATCTGTACTTACCGGATGGGAGCCTCCTACCAAAGAAGTTGAAGGGGTGAAACACGAGAAAAATGAAGCTGAATATAGTACGGGTGAGAGCTCGTCGGCCAACTTCAATTCAAAAGCACTCAATGCAATTTTTGGCACGGTCGATGAGAACATGTTTCGCTTAATTAGCACGTGCACTACTGCCAAAGATGCATGGGACACCTTGCAACGTCATTGTGAAGGTTCAAAGAGTGTTTGTCAAACGAGGCTGCGACTCCTTGCAGCAAACCTCGAGACAATTCGGATGCTCGAAAATGAGAATATCTCGTCATACACGGCCAAGTTGATGAATATTGCGAACGAGTGCTACTCTCTTAGAGAACCGATCTCGAATGAAAAGCTCGTGGCGAAAGTAATGAGATCTCTTCCAAAGCGCTTCAACATGATGATCACGGCGCTTGATGTCTCGAAGGATGTGACAACCATTATATTCGATGACCTTGTTGGCACTCTCAAGACGTTCGAGATGAATCTTGAGGTACAGGATCTTGAAGAAAAAAGTGCATCGTTCGGAAAAGGAAAAGAAATCGCCCTTCAATCGGTCACTAAAGATGGTGATGACTTGGAGAATCTAGTTCGTGATATAAAGGAAAATGAGTTTGATGAAGAAGGAGTTGCACACATGACGAGACGCTTCACATCTTTGCTAAAGAGAAGAAATTCTCAAAACAACTCCCAAGCCTCGAGGTCCCGAGTGCCAAGGCCATTTACTCCACCTCATTCGAACCGATCGAATCCAACCGGTGAAAAGGCGAAACTTAACGATAGGAGAAAGTTCACCTCGAAGTCGCTCGAGACCATCCAATGCAATGCTTGCAAAGGGTATGGGCACTATGTAAATGTGTGTGCTAATACCTTGCGCAAAAGAGGCTTGAACTTCAATGCCACTTTGAGCGATGATGAAGAATTTGATGACTGTTCCGCTGAAAGTGAAGCTGAAAATTATGGGGATGCTGCCTTTGTGACCATTATGAGCGAATTCATGCCCAAACAAATTGATCCAGCAGGTGACGGTCGAGGTGTCGCCCGAAGTGTCATGACACTTGGCAGGTATGAAAAAGAAAATTCTGAATTTTTTTGCTTTAACTCCTTGTTTTGTGACGCTTCAGGCAGGGATTTAGGTCCTCCGAGCAGCCTTCAATTTGTTAGGTTTGAAGACCATGAAAAGGTGTACGTGGAACTTCATAAACGCTTTATAGATGCCGTATGGGAAGCGGATAGGCTCGAGAAGGAGAACAATAAGTTAAATGATGAGAATAAGAGGATGAAATCAGAGGCTAAAAAGTTGGAAGAGGAGAATGATGCATTAAAATCAACCATAACCCAATTGGAGGTGACCATCTCTGGTCATGACCAAAAGTTGGTGAAGGTAAGCGAGGATCTTGAATACTCCCGTCGGACCTTCCAACGACTTAACACCGGTAAGAGCCAATTGGATGTCCTAGCTGCTCTTGAATATAATCATAAGAAAGCAGGACTTAGTTTTAAGCCTATTATATTTGTTCGTCCATCGGAGGAAACATGTGAGTCTTTTTCAAAATCTACGCCCAAGGTTTTTAAGAATACTAAACAACGAAGGCGTAGATATGTGTGTCATTATTGTCATGCACCCGAGCACATTAGACCTTATTGTTATAAATTGCATTCATTTGATAGGTCTTTTGAACCAGTGGTGCCTCCCGTATCACGTAATATGTCCAAAAATCACGGAAGTAGGACTAAAGAAAAATTTGTTTGGGTACCAAAATCTGAGTTGAAATGCAATGTAATTCATACCTCTTTTAAGTCTAATATTGCAGGATCGTGGTACTTTGATAGCGGGTGTTCGAGACACATGACTGGCACTCGTGAGTTCTTTTCCAATGTAGAACCTTATGAAGGTGGGAGTGTTACATACGGGGGAGGTGAACATGGAAAGATTATTGGACGTGTGACGCTCAATGTTGAAGGCCTCCCAGAGCTTCAGAATATGTTGTTGGTTGATGGACTTAAGGCTAACTTGATTAGCATAAGTCAACTTTGTGATGATAATCTTCATGTTAAATTTGATAGTAAATCTTGTGAAGTTTTTTATGAGTCTAATTCATGTATTTTGACAGGTGTACGAACTACCCAAAATTGTTATCGGGTAAAAAATGCTGAGGATGACGTTCGGGACTTGATGGACCTTCCGCTATGTAGTGCTGCTCTAGGTGTCGTCCCTGTTGTCGCCCCAGATGTCATGACACCTGACACAACACCAGACACAACATCTGAAGCGACACGTATCTCCGACGAGCAAAATACCAGTTTCAAGGCTGAGACACGCCCTGATGGTGATGTTACTGGTGGGGGAAGAGTAGTTCGGCAATCTAATCCTTTGTCGCGATCCTTTGGTGAGGTAACAAATGGTAGTTTGTTTCATTTAATGGTAAGAAAGAGGGTACTTTCTCTGATGAGATTAGTGTTGAGATGCTTGTCATTCGGGACACAACTTCGGTAATTCTTGGTCATTTGACTGTAGAGCCTTGATGGGTGAAACAAGTTAGTGTGTTGGAGATACGGTTGAATATGGCTTTTCTCATTGCTCAAGGTCTGAAGGTACTTGATTGCATTGATGAGACTCTTGAACAAACAAGCAGGATATGCTTTGGATGTTGTTGTTGCTCACTAATGCCATAGCAGAGCGATTTCTGATTGGACAAATGGTGTTTTGAGCTTGTTGAGCCATTCGAAAAAAAGCCACGCGTAACCCCTTGAGTTAAGGAGAAGATGAGTACTGAGAATCTGTTTGCCCGAGCACGTTGATTGAGCAAACGACTGGTGCAAGGATTGAGGGGGAGTCGAAGCCGAGCTCGGGCCACACCACTTTCATATCCAACGTCTATCATCCATGCTTTCTGACCAAAAAGGGGGAGAGGGAGAGAGAGATCGTGGAGTGCTCGACTTTATCACTGTTTGCATTTCTCTTCCCTATCTCTTTTATATGGTGTCTTAAATTGTGGGGGAGTATTGAGATTTTGTTTTTTGGTTTGTTTGGTTTTGTTCGGAAAAGCAAAAAGGGGGAGATTGTTCGAAATGTATTTTTTATATGTTTTATTTTGCTTTTCTTATTTTATTTCTGTATATATATTTATTAGTTTATTATTTATGGGAGAAAATTATTGTGTTTAAAAGTTTTCTTATCTTATTAGGTGTCCTACTAGGAAAAGGAAGAAAAAGATATGAAGAGATTT